AGCGGAAATGTTGGGCGGCAGTAATACCCCCCCCCCCCCCCCCCATCAACAAAAGTTGTCTATGGTTTCTTTCTCGAAAAACTAAGACCGCCCCCGAACAGAAAAGGGAACAGTTATGTGGCCCTCGCAGGAAAAAGTTTGGGGACCCCTTCTATAGAGTCATAAAATTACAATACAAACAGTACTAGATGCCATTTTTAATTAACTGACCACTGATGATAATCAGCCAACTTATTCTTAAATCAGCTCTGATCTGAGATGAATTTATGAACTATTGAAGAACTCTTTTTTTTTTTTTTTTTTACCGATTTATTCAAAACTGATCTGCAGATCAGAACTTAGAGAACTGAAAATCTGTATCAGCTGGTAAAATCCTGATCAGTGCATCTCTAGGACAGACTAAAAACTTTTTTCAACCCATAAATCCAGCAGCTTTTTAAAATATTTTCTTTTTCAAATAGTCCACTGACATAAATCTCTGTCTGCTGTACTACATTTTATCTTCAGATCTTCTGTATAAAATTTAATTTCTTTCCCAGGATGTAAAGTTCAGTAATAAAGTGAAACTCGAGTCTTGTTTTTTATGTATATGTGGACCACTAGTCTGCTAAATAATCAGTAAGCTTTAAAAAATAAAAATGAACCTGTGGAGGAAGCTCTCCTTGGCTGCTTCAATCTGCAGAGTTCCTCCTTTCCATTTGGATTTATTAAGAACCGTCATACCTGCAGAGGAAACACGAAGACGTAAAACCACCTGAACTCTGATGTCACATAAATCTCAGAGTAAACAGAAACACTGGGAAAAATTTCACCTCCTCTGATGTTCTAAAACATCAGATTATTAGTTTCAGGGCTGCTTAATGTCATTTAATACTCTCTACATCAGCTCTTTATTTATTAGATAAAAATCTACAATCTGTCTTAAGGGAAATAAATACTACATGTCTGACAATATCTCGCTGTCATCAGGTCACAGGATGGAGTTATTTTATCTTACAGAGAAAGTTTCCTGCAGCTGCTTCAAGGTGGAAATATTGACTGTAGAAGTTTCTTCACTTACATTTCTTCAGGTCTGCTTCAGAAATGTTGATGTTGATGTAGGCGAATGTTTTGTAAGGAATACCTGCAGGAAAAACAAGATAACATCAGGACATCTGATGGAGCCGCAGCAGGAAACAGGGAGGATGTTTCCTGCTAAGAAGCATCCTGATTTTAACCAAAAACCTTTTGGTTAAAATCATTCTTTTCTTGGTTTGATTGGAAAATATTGCAGAAACTTTAAGCTTTCAGCAGAAACAAATATTCAAAGAAAAATTATATCCACTAATTTGGTTAAAATACTACTCAGTTTTCAAAGCAGTTTTGATGTAAAATCAAAATAATGTCAGAAATATCAGAAAATTTTTCATATCACTACAATCTCTGAAATACTCAAAAATTTAAATATACATTCTGGTGAGGCTCATGTGTCAGATTAAACAGCAACCATGACAAATATTTCAGCAGCTATTAAACATAATTTCTTTCACCCACATTTCTAAATTATGATGCTTTTTATTTATCTTATGTTAAGATCTTTATCTTAAAGGCCATGTTTTCATTAACTGCCTCAATGAGTGAGAGACTTACTGATTCTCATTTATTTTACATGACAGCTATGAGTTTGGATGATAACCTCCAGTTGGTGGTTATGATATTAAAACACATTAACTTCTTTTACAACTCTCAGACCATCAAGATCATTCTCACCTTCCTCATCCTTCCTGGTACGGAGCTCTACATCCAGAACTTCTCCAAACTTTTCAAATCGGTCCTTCAAATCCTTCTGGGTGACCGTGTGGTTCAACCCGCCGACGTAAAGCCGCCGCATTGCGCCGAATCCACAAAACCAAAGTCACTGCAAGAACAGCAAACACCAGCAGCCTGTAGCTAACACGGCCATCCAGACATCTACTGATGTGTGAGGAGCAGCATCAGTTATTTCAGCAACAAACCTTAAAAGGAGACAGAGATGTTAGAAAATGGAGCAGCTTCTTATGTGAACAGGCATTTCTGTTTCTATAGTCAAAAGGTTTTTAGGGTTTAATCATTTTTCTCTGAAAACATATTTAAATTGTTCAACTCATTAGTTCATCAACATCTTTGTAGGTCAATTTGGATAATCAGTTTAATAACAGTAAAAAAAGTTTATATATATTACTTCTAACTGATCTGTCCTGGTCTGTGTTTGTGGGTATGATAAAAATTACATCAAACCAAACAATACAATAAATATATGATATAGCCCGAATTTATGAAGCTATGTAAACAGTCTAAGGGTTTATGAATAGGGGAAAAGCACAAAATATCCAAAATACATTGAACATAAGTCGCAGGTTGCTTGGAGGAGGATGAGAAACACTGTTACAAGTTCAAACAAAGTAGTGGGAATAAAATGTACAAGAAAGTGCATGTTATCTAAGATCAAACAACAAATCAAATGGATAAAGGAGCTGACGGGACAGTTGTGGTGCTGCTGTCCATTTTAAATGGATTACTGACGTCTACAGGAGGAATCTGGAAGTAATATCCAGGTTTGAGATATTTTTGCAGGTAACATTAAGCTGTTTTAAAGGACAGAGGAACAGAAAACAGGAGAATAAACTCGTAATCATTTCATGTTTAGTATTAGATTCAAACACACAGAGACTGAGCAAAGTAAGACTACCTCATGTACAACGAACACACACATCAAAAAAATATAAATTAATTTTAAAATCTACAGGCTGACAGCAAAAACAGAAATTTCTAATGTTTACCTCACATGTATTCAGCCGGTGCTTCGCCCTTTCGAGTCCGACTGACATTTACTTCCGGTAGTTTATCTGAAAACGTTCCGCGTACATTGTAATTTATATTAATGTAAAAAAACACAATGGCAGCATTTTAAATATTAAAAGAAATATCTAGAGGAAAACAGATTTTAATAAATAAAAAAATAATACATATACAAAATTAAAAAAAGACAGTTTCTCGGGTTTTCTCGAGATATTTCCTGTGTCTTGTCTACTGTGTAGAGGACGAGGGGATGTTTCACCTTTTTGCGCCCGAATAAATCTTATTTTACAGTCTGTTACCAACTTTAACGCATTGTTTTATGACATTTAGATTGATTTGTACTTATATTTGTGGTGTTGTACCAACAGAAGCACCCAGTAAGGTCAAAATGGCTCGACAGCAACACCGTCTCACCCTCTAATTTCAGCCAGAGGTGGTACAGTCCAGAGAGCGGGAGGCTGCAAACAGCTAGCTTCAGAGATCAGCTGGGATACTCAGTCCAGGTAAGTAAAAAGTTTTAAATTAGCCTTTTAATGGTTGGAAACAACTTTAATGTTTTCCGAATTTATTGTGTAGAATTCTCTGGTTACGTATAAGTTGAATTTTATTGTGTTTCTTAATAAATAAGAAACACAAAACTACCAAAAATGGTAGCAGAAATGGGTAGAGCAACAAACTTTGCAAAAATAACATTAGAAAAGCAAAGCTGGTGTTAAGAGGTTTCACTTCCACATAAACTGTAAGTCTGTCGGCTGTGTTGTTGATTAAAAGACATAGACTTAATAGATTAGCCAGACATTGTTCTCCAGTTATAGAGGAAGACAGTTACTTTCATACTAACATCACTCAAGTATAAGTGAAAAGTAAAGCGCAGCAAAACTAATCAGAGAATTAAAACGAGCTCAAAAATTTCTATTTGTATCTTTCCTCTCTCTCTTTCTACGAAAAACTGAATGGGAAAACTCTTCAATCTGGTGCTTTGGTTTCAACTAGCCTTTTTTTAAGTGACAATTTTGTTTATAAAAATGTATTTTATTTGTTGTTTCTGTTTTGTTTATTTATTTTGGATATTTGAAATGTCTTCCATCTCCCTTGATAAATGCTTGTTAGAATTTAAAGTTTATTGATCTTTGAGAATGTATTAAATTACTTTAAAATGGTCCCCACGCAACAATATTATTGATTATTGCAATAACTTCTGGGACAATTTATCGTCCAGCAAAATTAGTTATTGTGACAGGCCCACATCTGAGTGTTCTTGCTGTTTCTCCAGGAAGATGAGTGAGGAGAAGGCAGAGGAGCTGAAGCAGCTGGAGACTGAGGTGAAGCTGCTGCAGGCAGAGATCATAGCTCTGCAGCAGCAGCGGCAGGACAGCTGGGAAAACGTCTCTGTCCAGTTCAGGGGACAGATGCAGGACGCTCTGTGAGTTTACCTCCTTTTATTTCCATCAGGTTCCATGTTTGGGTACCAGAGAGAAACGATGGGATGTTTGACTGTCTCTGCAGAGCGTTTGTCTGTGGACAGACACAGGACCTGGAGGAGACGGTGGTGTCCAGGCTGAAGGAGGAAGTAGAGGAGCTGGAGAAGGACCTGAAGTTGCAGACTCAGATGAATGGCATCTGCCTGAACAGCTGCATCACAAAGACCCTGCAGAGCCGTAAGGAAGAGAATCTGCTGGACATTTCCAACACTAGACATCTAGCTGCGTTTCCATTGACCATGAAATTGCAGAAATTGAAATTGACATGGCTTAATGATGAATTTATCTTTTCTAACTCTTTACATCTATCACTGCCATCAATTTTTTTTGACCCGTGAACAGGCTGATTCACGTGTGATTTTAATTTAATTTCTTTTTTAATGCAGTTGTGAAATTGTGTTGTTTTAACATCAGCAGAGTAGAGACAAAGATTTCCGAACATTTGTCATGGAAACGCAGCTTCTGTCAGTGGCCATGTGCTCAACATGTTGTTTATTTATTACACTCATGTTTTTATCAGTGTTATTTTAAACCAGTTACTCTAACCTTCTTACTGGGCTTTTAAGCTGCATCAAGTTTCCTCATTAGTCAGATGCCCAGTTTCTCTTTCAGAATAAAAGTCTAGTGTTAGATGTTTCTGTGTGTGTCAGGCGGTCAGGAGGTGGTCCACCAGGTCTGTCTGTCAGGTCGCAGCTATGAGCTGGTCTTCCAGGTAGAGTTCCAGCTTTCTGAGCTCAAGGTGAGTCTTTTTATTCTCTTGATGTCTATTTATGGTTGTTTTACTGATAAGAGCTGTTCTCAGCCTCTTTGTTTTTTAATTTTCTTGTGACTGTTTGTTGTTTCTCTGGCTGTGTTTAGGTTAGAAGGAGGAGATAGGATTTTGCTTTCTATCCTTGTTAGCTCCAGATCAGTGTCAGATGACGGATAAACTAGATCTACGGAGAGAAATATTAGAAAATAGTTCAGGGTTTAACCAGCAGAGGGGAACAGAGAGCTATAATTATATCAGTGATTTCAGCTGCTCTTGAAACTTCAGGAAGGAGTTTCACCTGTACTTAAGTCATTAAGTCAATTATTTGCTTGATAAATTTTAAAAACTCAATAACTACTGGTTACGGATTCAGTCATCTGCCCCTAAATATGGAAAACAGTCCTCCAAACAAGAAACAAGCTTTTGGAAAAGATTGATATCATTAATTATTAATTAGTTTTTTTGTTTTAAATATCTGAAATACTGCCAAACTCAGAGCATGACCTTTTCTGTTTTATCCAGTTTTCCCTTAATGCCATTTTTTAAACTTTTAATCAGTTATGAGGCATGCTAGTGAAACCTGAAACCTCTTCTGCGCAAGTTTCTCAGCAAGTTGTTGCTAGGTAACCAAAGAATGAGTTGCTAGGTAACCGAAGAGTGAGTGAGTTAGTTGATGCCACCAACCGTATTTAGCTAGTTGTTAGAGGTTTAGTGACTAAAGCTTATATCTCCCAGAATGCTGTGTGTTTCTGGATTAGTGAATATTCTATATATTGGATGTATTGTCTATTGTTGTTGAGCATGTGTCTCTTATATATATATATATATATATATATATATATTGTTATTGATATATTGTCCATCCCTAGATGGAGATAAAGGTCTGAATTTGTTCATGCTGTCCTTCTGTCTCCTCCTGTGTCCTCTGAATGGCGCATGTGTCTCTGTCTATATCTGTCCTCTCCCTGTGGACTGACAGATCTGCAGTCAGTCCTACATGTTCCAGTCTAACTCTCCTTAATATCTATTTTGCATCATGTAAACCACACATTGAATACTTCCTGTATGTGTGAACTGAAACTGTTTGAATCATAAAACAGTTTCACAGAAATAATTTTTCTAATTTAGGAAAGTCAAAGTAAATTTCTAATTTGTGCAAGCAGGATTGAAGCTGGATCTGTTAGCCAACTGGAGCAGATGTTGGAATGTTTTTACTGATGGCTGTAATGTCTGCAGGACGGATCGAGAACAGAGCGGAGAATCAGAGATCTGAACCTGGTGCTGGACTCCAGCGACCTGCAGAGCCTCAGCAGCTTTCTGTCCAGGTACCGACCTGCAGTCATAACTAATGGGGGATAATCTGAGAGGAAATGAGGAGTAACCAGGTGGAAGGGTTTGAAAACATAAACCAGGAGGAAAAATACATTATTTCAGCTATCATCATCCTCTAAAATGAATCTCTGACTTTTACTGAGAAAACTTTAAAGTTAAGATAATTTCACATGATATAAATGTTTCATTTTGAAACCGAAGCTCTCCATCTCAGACTCTACGGGCCTCAGTTAGCAGGTTAAAAGTCAAAGATCATGACCATGAACCAGTCTGGCTGCTTGGAAGGGTTGAAGGAGGGAGCTTTTTTTTTTCTCTAGAAACAAGATGGCTGCCGGGCTGAGGTCAGCAGAACTGCATCTGGAGGAAGGACGAGACTTATGGGGCAAAGTCCTCTGGACAGATGAGACCAGAGTGGAGATGTTGAACTGTGATGGACAGAACCAAACACCACATACCAACTGTTGCACATGGTGGGGGAAGGATGACGAAGTGGGCTTCTGCTGTAATTGACTGCAGCCAAAGTATTCTAGAGTCCAATGTGAGCCCTTCTGTCCTACATCTGAAGCTTGGTCCAAACTGGGTCTTCAACAGAACCAGGGTCCCAAACTGAGCAGCAGATCGACAAAAGGGCTGAAAAAGAGGAGAATCGAGGCATTTCAGTGGCCTAGTCAAAGTCCAGACCTCATCCTGGTTGAAAGGCCAAGGTGGGACCAGGACCCTATTATCAGTGTGTCAGTCTAACACCCAGAGCTGAGAGGTTCTGGTCCGTTCTTCATTCTGCTGCAGAGCGTCTGCTCTGCTCTGATTGGCTCTGAGTCTGAGGCCAAACCACATCTGGATCGGATGACCCAGACTGCAGAACCTGGCAACCAGCACATGGAAAAATACTGAAGACAATGATTCAGCTGCTGCTGCTCCGTCAGGACCTCTGGATCTGTGCTTGCGTGCGTGCGTGCGTGCGTGCATGTGTGTGTTTCAGCCTGTCCTTACTGTCCAGCCCAGAGGACCATCTCTGATGGATCCGTCCGGGTTCAGGTGCTGCTGATTAGTTTCTCCTGAGGTCAGGGTGGGTTTCCTCCACCAGGATTACCCACTTTATCCAAGCTGATGTGGATCTTTCTGATGTTGATCTGATTTAGTGACTGTTGGTACTGAGCAGGAGGGGAAAACAATGCTTGTGAATAAACTTTCCATTCATTAAAATTCAATTAGTTTAAAATATGTTCGACTGCACCTCTATTTGAAGGTAGAGCTTCAGCTGGAAGCTTTTAAAGGAGACATGTTGAACCTTTTTATGATCTGAACTACTCTACCGAGGTTTTATTGAATTATTTCATTCCCAGGTGTTTTAAATAAATTGCTCAGCTCTCTGAAACCTCTCTGTTGTTAGGAGTCTGGGTGAGGATGGACGGCATCTCCTCCACTCTTCATCTTCTTTCTTGCTTTCAGCTGCAGTTTAGAGGCATCTCTTTGATGGGTTTTAATCTGTAATCTGGAGATCATTGATTCACCAATCAGTGAACCAGACGGCTAACAGCTAGGAGGAAACCAGACCCAGTCCTGAAATTCCTCCTCCGGTATCGATGATGACTGGTTCTTCTTCATATGATGGCTGCTTGTCCGATTATCTCTCTTGTTTTAATATGGGATTATAATCTTGCCAGCAATGCACCATTAGGCCTTGAAGCCTGTTTGCCCTTTTATGAGTGGAGCGTTATGGCTTTGCATTGGGTTGACTTCAACCCCCCTGTGACTCCTTGGTCCTTTCACAAAGATGTCAACTACTGTTAGTTTCTCTCTGCAGAGACACAGACACAGCATGGAGCTGGAAGCAGAAGTTTATACACAGCAGATGTTGCTGCAGTTTTTCCACACAATGCTCTTTCCTCATGTTTTCATCTATTTTATGAAGTGAACCAGTTCCCCCTGTGACAAACCACCACAGCATGGTGCTGCCACCATCATATCCACATTTGTTTTCCAAATGTAACAATGGTCATTGTGTCCAAACAGTTCCACTTTAGTCTCATCAGACCACAGGACATGTTTCCAAAAATGAAGATCTTTGTTCCTATAATTTGGCTTTTTATGTTTCTTCTGCAGTGAAACATAAAAAAAGGCAGCTCCTCGCTGAGCGGCCTTTCAGCCCATGTCGGTTCAGAATATATTTCACTGTGGACAATGTCTGACTTACCAGCATCAGCTGCATCTTCACAAAGTCTGTGGCTTTTGTCCTGCACATTTTCACTCATCATTGTGACTTTTAGCAAATAGACAGTGAGGAAAAAGTGGATAAAAAGTATCTTTTAATTGGGCATATGTAAACTTCTGGCTTCAGCTGAATACGATTAGTCCTAATTTGTCAGCTGGTCGTTGTTGATTTGCTTTGAAATGTGACTTTTTGTCTATAGCTCCGTTCTTTATAGAGTTTTATTCTCTATGGTGATAAAACTGAAAACCTCCTCATGCCTTCATTCACTCACATCGAGATCAATCTGTTCAACATTCCCGGTGTTCCCCGCTGAAGATTTCATCTTTTTCTCCCGACCCAGTTCAGCCAGTCAGTCCTTCAGCTATCAAGCTGGGATCGCTCTGTCTCCGTCTGCCTCTCTGATAGTGCTGCATTAGAAGTCAGGCTGCTGCCATGTTTCCATCGACTCCGTGCGGAATAACAGTCATCTGGAAATTTAACCCGGCTGCCGTCTAGCCCTGGGCCCCCTCGGAAAACTCTGGAAATCCTTCACCAGAAGGTCCCAGGCTCCGTCACACTCTGGACCAGACCTAGACGTTTCCGCCATGTCATACGCAGCCTGCTTCAGTGAAGAAACTGCTTTATTTTTTATTTTCTGCTCTGTATTATTCTGGATGATTCAGAAATTAATCAGCTTTATATTAAAATGTTAGCAATGAAACAAGGTCAGGCTAAATTCATAAAGATATGAAGATGTTTTCTGATTGTGAAAATCATTAACAGTCGTTGAGAACAGAATGTCTGAAATAGAAAAGAATCAAGGTGCTGCACGGGCCTAGTCAAAGTCCAGACCTCATCCTGACAGGAGTGTAGTTGCATATGAACATGTGCGTCATCAGACATTGATATCGGCCTGTAGGAGCTGGATGGGTGTGTTGCTAATGTTGGGTAATTATAGTACCAATAAAGAATTTTTGTTTAGAAATTAGTGAAAGTCAACAAAATGTGTTTTTTTATTTTTGACAAAAAAATTACAAAAAACCCCCAAAACATTTAAAAATCAAAGTTAAAAGTGATTTAATTTAATGACACATTAAAATATTTACCACACAATAAGGGAATGCATAAACATTCAGGTGTGTCATGTTTTAATCAGCATTTTGATAACACATTTGTCCAGTGGGATGCCTTTAATTTTCTACACCTGATGTATTTTGCAGCCAAAGTGTCTGAAAACGTGGATCAGTCATAACCATCGTTGCAGTTTCAGTGTTATTATTGTGATTAAATAATTTCCTGATCTGTGCAGCTCTGCTTTAATCTGGATCCTATTTTATGATGTATTTCTACTGTTTTTTGTTGTAAATATTCCAGTTCAGCTTATTTTTTTAATAATGGGACGAATCATATTAAATATTTTATATTATAAGATTATAGCCAAGTGGATAATTTCCATCTGTAGTCTTACAGGCAGGTTGTTGTTTAAAAAAACTAAACAAAAGAAAAAGAACAATAAAACATGTTTCTACTAGGTTAGAGGTTTATACCAGACTATAAAAACTGGTTTATGTTTAACTGAAGTCATGTTGACTTTTTGGCTTTCCGGGAATCAGATTTTAAGATGTTTTCTCTCGTACGGAGCCTGGTTCTGGTTCTGGTTCTGCAGGAGGTTTCTTCCTGTTAAAGAGGAGGTTTTCCTCTCCACTGTCGCCCCCTGCTGGTCCAGGAGGTGTAAAAGCTGCATTAATGACTCCATTCTCTGCTGGGTTTCCCTAAACATAACCCTTTTTAACTAATTTGAACAATAAATTGAGCTTAATGCTCTGATTTTTAACTAGAATTTATTGAAATGGACGTATGATTCAACTGAAATAAATTTTTTACAAAGTCAATTGGCACAGTAAAGTGTACTAAATTTTATTTCATTTTTAGAAATAATTTGTCATTTGGCATGAGAGGGAATTTTGTTATTCATTTATTTATCAAAATAGGCAAATTTTGTGGATCATAATTGATTTGTAAAAGCAATAAAAAGGGTAAAACATCCAAGGGGGTGAATATTTTTACAGATGCTGTAACTTGGCAATCTGTGAAGTTACATTATTTCTAATAAATCAAAAGTTATACAAATTAAATGTTAATATTTTCAGAATCTGTTGTTGGGGTTGAAAATGAAGTATCTGGATTCTTGTATTTTATTTTTGTGTGTTTAATTTTTGCAGTCAGTTTGTGACGCCATAAGATGTTGTGGCTTTGAAGCAAACAAAGACAAAACAGTTTAAGCTCAGACGAGAGGCAGCCGGGCTGTTTCTGGTTGCTATGGTCACTTGATGAACGCCGCCATCGTGTGACGATGTGCTGTGATTTCAGGGTGGAGGAAACCCGGGACCTCCTGTTGTTCTTCAGAACCATCAGGAGTTACTCAGAGAAATGCGACGATCGGACCAGAACCTTTCAGCACTTCCAGGTGAGTCAGAGCAGAACTGGACAGCCCAGAACCTCCCACTGATCTGTAGAGGTCCTGGTTCTGGGTTATTACATTAATGCTTCTTCTGGTTTTGTTTTAATTTTCTCCAGTGGAGACCCAGATGTTCATTAGATGCACATCTGCTCAGATTGTTTACCTCTTCAAACGGTTTTATGACAGCAGAACCTGCTCCAAGTTCTGTTCATCAGACTGATGGATGTCTGAGGCATCCTGAACCAATTGGGTTTGTTTGGATTTCTGCCGTTATCTGACTCACTGAGGCTCTCCGTAGTCCAGCAGCTTGTTTTTAGTCCGTTTAGGTTCTGCAGAAGCTCATATTTCTGTGTTGCTCAGATGATGAAGAGGAAAAGAGCCGTAGGTGTAAATTAGCGGGACCAGTCTAAATGTCAGGGCGGGACGGTGCTGGACAGGCTGCAGCTAAATGCCAAATAACACGCCAAGCGGCGGCGGTGTGGAACACATTGGCCTGCTTACTCGGGGAGTCGGCGGTCCAGCCCAGTTGGCAGGACGGCAGGACGATTAACACACATTTTCCATACTGGGCCGCGTGCTGCAAACACTGCAGTTTAGCTTCATCTGCGTCTGCTTCAGGGTTTCCATGGAAAATGTCATTCCTCATCGTAAATATCCAGCTGTAACGTTCTCCATACCATAATAACAGCCAGACAACACCAGCTTAAAACCGGTTAAATAAATAAACAGAATAAATGAATTATATGGAAAGTGTTAAAAGTTTTTCTTGCTGGCGAACCGCAGCGCTAAACAGACCAAAGCTATCAACCTCAGGCTTTATGAGCCTCAGCAGTGCTGGCTGCTCATATTGATGTTCCCTCTCAGGTACGCAGACATGTTAACGGCTTGTGTTGATAAGAGCCGTCTGATTCGGCTAATGGATGTTTTCAGTTTGGTGTTCTCACATTACTGCATTCTGGTTCTAATCTGGGCTGCAGCGCTTCAGGAAAACATGTGACTGCTGTGTTATTGTTGCTTCATCCATCAGTTAGGAGCTGAGACACATTTTCTTCAGGATCTTCTTCCATTGGCTGATTTTTATGCTCCCTGTCAAACTGAACTCATTTTCCCTGATTTTTCTCAGTGATTAGTGGTTTTCTTAAAGCTGTTCATGCCTGAAACCCTCATGTCCCTTCATCTTGCTCATGTCCCTTCATCTTGCTCATGTAGAAATGCTCTAGGTCAAACACAGCCGTTTCTTCTTCAATCAGGAACAGTCAAGACAATGGTTTCCTACTTAAAATTTTTAACAAACTTTTCAACACAATGCTGCTCTCAGATGTTTTCTTTGTTTGATGCCAACAATTAGACCCTTCTGGAACAGTTCATGTCTTCACGGTTGTTTGAACAGGCAGTGTATTATTAAGTCAAGTTTAGGTCACATTTCAGCAACAAGACAGTTCAAAGTGCTTTACATCATAAAACATCATACAGTTTACAATGAAACAGCAATCAACATTGCATTTTGTTAAATGCCGTCATTACATTTCATGAAGCAAATACACATCAAATATGTTGGTCAATGTTCCAGTTACTACTAATAAAAGCAACTCTAAGCAGGTGGGTTTTAGCCTTAATTTAAAGGAACTCAGTGTTTTCGGCTATTTTGTGGTTTTCTGGAAGTTTGTTCCAGATTTGTGGTGCATAGAAGCTGAATGCTGCTTCTCCATGTTTGGTTCTGCTCTGCATCCCCAGAACCAGAAGACCCGAGAGGTCGGGAAGGTTGCTATGACAGCAGCAAATCTTTAATGTATTGTGGTGCTGAGCCATTCACTGATTTATAATCTAACAAGTCTGTTCTCTGAGCTACAGCGAGCCTCTGTAGGGACTTTAGAACTGGGTTTTGTGCTCCATCTTCCTGGTTTTTGTGAGAACGCCAGCAGCAGCGTTCTGGATCAGTTGCAGTTGTCTGATTGATTTTTTATTCAGACTTATAGGACACTGTTGCAATAATCAATGTAATCAATACATGGATGAGTTTCTCTAGATCTTCCTGAGTCCTCTAATGCTGGAAATGTTCTTCAGCTGATAGAAGGCCGACTTTGTAACTGTCTTTATGTGTCTCTGAAGGTTCAGGTCAAAGTGCATCACTACACCCAGAGTTTGGGCCTGATCGCTAGTTTATAGCTGTGATAGCTGAAGCTCTGCATTGACTCGTCCAAAGAAAATAACTTCAGTTTTCAGAAGGGCCAATGGTGCAAAATGTCAGCCTTGCTGACCCAGAGCAGCTGTGACTGCAATCAGTAGCTTCCCATCATCAGTGTGTGGATGTGTGTATGAATGGAAGCAACTAATTTCATTGTAAAGCGTCTTTGAGAAACCTTATGAGGTTGAAAAGCGCTATATAAGTGTTCTGTTCGTTGAATAAATGGATTCAGAGTCACCTGGTGACATCGTAATGTAACGTATCATCTGGTAACTAATCTTACTGTTATAACCTATTTTGAGATGTAGAAACAGTTGAAATATAATAGCCAAGAAAATATTACATCTAAGTAACTACATCACCCAGCTGGATGACTGTGGTGCGTTTTGTTCGGCCTGTTGCAATAAGCAATAAATCAGTTAATCAAATGATAAATTTAGACAAGCCCACTAATTTTCAATTGCATGATTTATTATTTTTCTCTTTTCTCTTTCCATCAAAAACTGACAAAAGTCTTTAGTCTGGTGCTTTGGTCTCAGTTAGCCCCTTTTTTTGATAGATTTTTTATTTAGTTTTGTTTTACAGAGGCTTCATATTTGTTGTTTTATTTGTTTTGGATATTTAAAATGTCTTCTAGTCTCAAATGTTCATTATGGTCTTTGATATTGTGTTTTTGCATTATTATATTGCTATACTACTTTAAATGGACAATTAAACTTCCAGCAAAAGCTGTTACAGTGACAGGCCTAGCTGTTCTGGTTCTGGTCCTGCAGACCCGGTTTATGGAGCTACACCTTTCTGACGTGAGCTCAGGTTTAAGTTGAACAGGATGTTGGTGAATTGTGGTTTCAGTGCCAGACTGATGAAAGATGAGTATGGATTCACCTCAAAATTTAAGATCATATTTTTGCAAACTGGAGATAAAAATAAATGATGACCATATAGACCTGAAACATCTATCCACCACAGTTTGTCAGACTCATCCTGTCATACTGCAGCACTGGCTATTAGTTTATAATAAACTCCTGGTTCTTCATCCTGTCAATAAATGTGACATGATAAAAACGGAGCAATAGTCCAGACTGACTGTAATCAAAAACAGTTTATTAACGTATCAAATACAGCCATGTTACACGCGCCTCCTTCTGTACAGCTCCTCTTATTCACATCAGTTATCATAAACAAAGATTTATTTACCTGGAAAAGAAGTGAAAACAAGAGAGTAACTTTCACATTACTGAAGCTCATAGATACATGTTCTCCAGCTCACCTCAACTGGACCATAAATTAGAAAACAAACTGACGTCAAGTTACAGAACATCATCATCATCACTGTTGTCTGCAAGGCCATGCAGACGAATCGGATGCTTGGATTAATCACTGGAGCTCATTTATCCAGCTCTGCATCCGGAGGGAAACGTCTAAAATGTTCAGTTGACAAAGGATCACCATGACGACGAGACTAAATTAGATTAGACTGGAAGAGAAAACTCACCTGTTATTACCTGGGAAAATCATTACAAGTAAATTAAGAAGCCTGTTTGCTATGAGTGAACGGGGATCCTCTGATGAATAGGGAATGTTCATCATGCAGAATAAATTTCCCTTTTTTTAAATATAAATTCTGTTTTATTTTGGGTCTTTTTCCGGATCTAAGCTGAAGGTTCTGTCGGTCCAGAACTATTATTGTTAAAGTCTAAGAGAATCTCTTTAGAGTCAGGAGGGGAACCGAGCCGAGCTGGACCCGTCGCTGCTCGTTAAAGTGACAACACTAACCGGACCAGAACCGTTCTGCTGCAGAGGCTTTAGAGTGAGTCTTTGGGGCATTGGTTCTCCTCAGCGGTACCGGCCCACAGGCAGAACTTTCATGCAGGTGAAGCTGTCGGGGTACTTGGACAGCACCACTGGGTTCCCGTCCATTCGGACCTCAGAGAGGCTCAGTCGTAGATAGTAGGAGTTGTCGGACTTGCAGAAGGTGTCTACGTTCACCTCCGTGATGTTGTTGTCCTGAAACACAGGAAGAGTGAAGAATAAGCTAATGTGTTTTTGTCTAATTTTTCTGTTTTATGTTCTTTATATATGTTTCACACAGAACACTTGCTAAGCCCGCGGGTCGGATCACTGGGGCAGTCATCTGGCAACCCAACGTGTTCTTAAGTTAAAAAATGTTGACGAGGAATTTGAAAATTTGAAAATATGAGTAGGTATTACGTGTCACTTTATTCGCTTAAGTACTTAGCATGTAGACTGGTAATGAATTTAATAAAACACACCTGACCTCAATCTCAATACGTATTCACATACTGACCATCCTATGTTGCCTTGTGCTTCCAACCATTTCAGAGACTCTGGTGTCACTGTTAGTGGTGTATAAAAAAACCCCAAACGGTAATAGATAAACAAACAATGTCAGTCTGGTGGGGGTGCAAAAAAAGCTTGGTGGCCCGCCAGGCTGATAATACACTAAGGGAAATAGTAATAGTCTTTAAGAGTTGAACAGCTAAATTTATGTGAATAGGGGCGCAGAAATGATAAGTTTATACTTTTTTCTGCTCCTTTTCACTCATGACTTATTTTAGTTATTCAAATGTAATATTGAGTGAATTAAATAAAAAATTAAATTAAATGAGTTCAAAGCAGTTCGATTATTCACAGCCCCTTATTACATTCTGTCACATTACAACTAACCTTTTTATTTATTCTTTTTTTAACCATTTTTTTATGTTCACTTATTTATTATAATTAATTGTATTTATTTAGCATTTTCTTATCTTACTTATTATGTATTTATTTTTAAAAATAACCAGAATTCGTTTTATTGGGATTATTAAAGAAGCAGTTGAGGGAAAATTTTCTGAACTTTGTGTGGAATGGAGACGTTTCGCTCAGCGACTGCTGGAGTTGGGCACTAGACGGACCAAAAATCTGAAAAGTGTGGCTTGGATTGCAGTTTGCATAGTGGGAACATGGAAGCTCAGAGTAAAAACTCTGACAGTCTTTACTTCAGTGGAAATTTCTGTGACAGATGTAAGAAAGGGAAGTGAACAAACTTCCAGATTATTTGGATGTGTTCTCAAGCTTTTACTGTTTGGAGGGTTTTTTTTATGACATATATTTTAGTGCTGAGCACTTTTAAAAGGAGAATTTTCTTTTATATTAAAACAAGAGTCTTTGTTTTGCACATAATGTTTCTGTTTAAAAAAAACATGATGGGGAAACTTTTTTTAACATCTTATAAAAGTAATGTTCTGTTGAACCACAACAGTTTAATTTGTGTAATTGAGTATTTTATTTCCATTTGGTAGCTCATTGTGACTGTTTTGTTTACTTAACCAAATTAGTTTACATTTCTATTTATCCATTTTGTATTTTCTTTGAGGCATTAAGCATTGTGTGTGATTTTGTGTATATTTATATATGAATATTTTTATGTAGTTATGCAGAAAGAAAAAACAGAAAGTGTGAAATATAGTTTGTGATATTATTATTGAGGTATTTAAAAATATATTGTGATATAATTTTTTGGAAATATCGCCCAGACCTATTTAGGACTGGACTTTGACTAGGCCAATCTTCTTTCCATAATATTTCTGGCTGGAAGGTGATTGTCCTGTTAGAAGGGGAACCTCAGATTTATTTCCAGGATTGTCCTGATTTAGATCAATCCATCTTCATATCACCTCTGACCTGCTTCTCTGACCCATAGCATGATGCTCCCACCGCCCTGCTTCATCAAGTGGATGGTGTATTTTTATTTTATTTTATTTTTTATAGTTTTGTCTGTAGGCCAGAAAGCTTGATTTTGGTCTCCTCTCATCAGATCATCTTCTCCTACATGGCTAACTGCTAACAGGACTTCTTTAGTGACTTCTATAAAAGTCAGACTAACAGCTCTCCTGTCAGTCTGGGTGGACGTCCATGTCCTGTTCGGTCAGCAGGCAGTCCATTCCGTGTCCAGGTCCAGATGATGGACTGATCAGAGTGCTGGGAGATGTTCTTATAGAACCTACATTAATCAGAACCAGAACCTCCTCAATGTTCTCTGGAAAACCTCTGATGACATTTCTAACATGTTACACTCAGTTTTATTTAAGGGTGTCATCTGGGGGGGCGGCAGGGGGGGAGGGGTTAAAACAAGTCCTTACAAAAGACTTACCAATCTGATATTAATATCTGATTCGATCTTGATAGTGAAAATCTTCTTGATCGGATATTGGTGGCAATGTGCCCGATCCACAAGGACAGATCTACTCAGTTTAATTATATTCTTTGTGCTTTATTATTTATTTTACATTATATTTAGAATTACTAATTGCACTTTCTGAGTCATTTGGATGAAGATTTATTGCAGTTTACTGTTACATGTTTGACTGAAGTAGTGAACCTCTTGTTTTTGACAGTTTCAGTTTATTTTACATTGGCAATTATCTGCTGACTGCACTCACTGAATAAACTAAAGTTATTTGTGCATGTGTGACCAAGCCTGTGAACCTATTGGTGCATTTAAGTGAGCTGAACTGGTCCAGAGTTGCCAAGTAATTCTGTAATTCAGTAGATTTATGTCTGTATTTAAAAATATAAAAATTTTAATTTGGGCTGTTTTTCTGTTTTGATTGGAATCTGCCGATGCTAAACCTGAGATATGGGGATCAGAAGTGAAAAGAGTGGATCAGTGCATCCATAGTTCACAGCACAGTATTCAGGTTTTAATCATAAAAGCATCCATGCATCATGTATGAACTACTTGTGTTGGTGCAGACCTGTAGATGCAGGATGCGGACGCTCTCTGGGATGAAGGGGACGGCCTCCAGCTGGTTGTTGGCCAGGTACAGGTTGGCCAGGCCGGTCAGTTTCTGTCATGGAGAGCAGAGACTGTTCAGCTTCCTTCTCATCTTCGGTTTACTTACAGCAACATCATCCAGCTTTCTTCATTTACAGACGAGTTAATGTCCGTTTTAAGGGCTGAACTGTCTTATTAAACCAAGTTAATCTGGTTTTACCTCATATAGAGGATTCACACTCCCTGACTGGTACCTGACGGGTTCTGCTGACGTACCTTGAAGGCGTTGGCTTTCACGCCCTTGGTTTTGAGCAAGTTGCTGTTGGCGTTGAAGGAGGTGAGCTTGGCGGGGAGGGCGGGGAGTTTGACCAGTCTGTTCTCGGCCAGAGACAGTTCCTCCAGCAGGGTGAGCTTGGAGAAGGCGCCGTCGTCGATCTCTGAGATCACGTTTCCTGTCAGGTCGATCCTCTTCAGGGTCACTGCGGCAGATGGCACAGGCACGCTTTTTTAATACCAAGTATTCATGATCCAGTCAGGTTTTCAGACATCAAATCAAACTTTTGACAACTTAAAAGCTAAACTAACAAATACATTAGGGATGAATCTTTCAGCATCTAGCAATTCAATTTCTAGTTTCAATTCAGAAACTAATTTTTCTACTCAGTCTAAAGAATCTGTTTAAATTATGTGACTGACGAGAGGAAAAGACAGCATAAGCAAATAATACATTTATTTTAAACAATTCCATACTGTATCAGATTCCATCAGCTTATATTTAAACAAAAATAGGTTTGTGCATAAAATTTTGCAACTTAAATTACCAGTACAAGGTTATCTTAGCTGCCTGGCTTTTTCTTATATGAAAAAAAATCAACAAAGGATTATTTGAAATATGACTTTACAAAAACAAGCAGACTAAATTAGATTTTTGAGCATTTTAAATCAATTCAAAATTCCCAGGCCTTTTTCTTTTTTTCCTGCACTTTTAAAATTGACACGTTTTATTTCCCTGGACTCTGGAGTCTCTGCAGCTGTGAGGACTCGAAGGTCTGAGCTCTGAGTCCAGATGTTCTGTCCAGACGTCTGGGACTTACCCGTGTCTCCGAAGTCGTTTTTCCCGATCTTCTTGATCTTGTTGAAGCGAGCATACAGGTAGGCGGTCTCTTTGGGCAGCAGGGGGACACTGGTCATGTCTGGACTCACCTCCTCACAGTACACAGAACCGGACAGGCAGACACACAGCAGGCAGGTGGGCAAATCTGCAGAACAGCAACCAGAACCGGGTCACAAAGACCAGGGTTAACCCGACAGACCAGGTCACATTTAGATATTTTAATGTATGCTTTAATTTCAGTCTAATATCTTATTTTAGGTGATGATTTATTTATTTTTCCTTATTTCTGAACATTCAAAAACGCTCATTGGCTTCTGATTATATGGCTGATTATTCATGTAGTCGTTTAAAACTTCACCAAACTCAACAGAATCTGCTGGGCTTCACACAATTTAACTGAGAATATTTCTGTCAAGATATGACAGATTTTTAAAGTAATTTCTCTGCTGAGAGTTTAACTATTCTAGGACTAGGATTATTCTGACTATTAATTGGATTAAACTCTGCACATTTTGCAGATTTTTCATTTAACCACTTATTGTATACAATAGTAAAATACATAAAAATATAAATAATTAAATTCCTTTTTTTTTAAATAAGAAAATAAACATTGTATTGTCTAGAATGCAATAACATTGATTTAGTAAATACTTGACCATTTGTTGTAAAGGCTGAAGATAAAAATCTTCCTACCATCAACATGTGAAATCTCAGCCTCTTCTGTCTAAATTAGCTCTAGTGTAGAGCTAATTTGTTGATAATTGATTAGATTAGCTGATTAATAACTGGATGCCAAAGGTTCTTAATAGAAGATTTTTACAGAATGTGAATCGGGTGAAGCTAAAGCTGCGTCTGGAGGAGTTCTGGGTAGAACTGAATTACAGGTCCAGATTCTTTCTCTCACCGGCACCGCTGTCGCTTTCCTTCGGTGCCATGCTGGCATCCGGCTCATCAGCAGGAGGTAGCGCCCTCTGCAGGAGAAAGCAAACACTGTTTACACAGCGGCTTCGTGTTTGGATCTCTGATTCTGGTCAGGTTTGGAAATGTGCATGCTCATTGCAGTGAGTGGACAAGCAGGCGGGTTCTGTTGAACTTTTCTGCATTATAGTCGTGTTTTAAGGCCTGCAGAGGAAGATAGGTTGGTCAGATTCAGAGTATAAATCGACTGTTTGAAATGACTAAGATTTCATACTGAACAAACTGAATGGAAGGAAATATTCTGGAATATTTTGCATAAACTGACACCACTTCTTGGAGTAGAAATGTTTCTCTTCCAACAAGTTTTCAGGAACATTTAAATTTAGACCTTCCTTTTGTCTTTAAACCAGTCTTGGTCCGTTGTCCTCCAGGCTTTGTTCCTTTGGTCTTTGGCTGCTTTTCCTCTGGTTTCTGACTGTTTTTTATTTGATGAACTCCAACCGATGAATAAACTGTTTCATGTTAACACAAAGCAGATAACTTTGTAAAAAAAATGATTTCAGATTGATTCTAGCAGAAGATCTGATTTTTTTTTTAATTTTGGAGTGTTTTTCTGTTTGGATATCGATGGGAAGCAGTAATCAGAGCTGCAGTCCTCCATAGCTGGGTTCTGCAGCTCATCTGGAGAAGCTGTTATCTAGTCAGACGTGAGATATGACGTCTCCAGGGCTCCTGGATCCAACCCCGGGTCTTCTCTCAGGAGGACATGTCAAACCAGATGTCCAACCTGCTCAGCTGTAGAAGCAGTGAGTGCAGTCTGCTCTCTGGACGGCGTCCCTCAGGGTAAATCCAGCCACTTTGCAGAGGAAGCAGACATTGGCTGTTCTCATCCAACACCTGATAGGTGAGGGAAGCATCAAGGCTCCGGTGAAGCTTTTTAAACTCAGAGTTTCACACCTGACATCCCTGCAGGACCACATTCCCATCAGGACAGAGAGAAGAGTGCTGCTTCTTCAACACTGGAAAAGTCCAGCATCTACAGGAACCAAGTTGGATCCATTTAACCCAAACCAATGACACCCAATGTCTCCCAGTACAGTGGAGGGACTATAAGTGCCTCAGAATACCTGAGACTTCCTCAAAAGATGTATATAGCTACCTATTTTAATATTTCAGAGTCTCAGAGCATTGATCAATCAATCGGCCATCTCTTCTATATGAAATCCGCCCCTGATCCGTTCTGCTCTGCCATGAGAGGCTGACTAACAGGTCTGTCCACCAGGTCCCGCCTAGGCCTGCCGCCGAAACAAGTTTGGCTGGACAATAAATTATCCCAGAAGTTATTGCAATAAACGATAATATTGTTGTTTTGAGACCATTTTCAAGTCATCTAATGGTAATAATGCAAGAACACATTCTCAGAGATCAATAAACTTTAAATTCTAATGAATATTTAACACTAGAACTGGAAGACATTTTAAATATCCAAAATTAATAAACAAAACTGGAATAACAAGTAAGAGGAACATTGGAGTTTCTGTAAACAAAATTGTTCTTCAAAAAAAAAAAAAAAAAAAAAAAAAAACAACCCCCAACCGAAAAACTTGTGGGACCCCCGCCCTCC